TGACGATGATCACTTGCACAAACAAACAAAAAAACTCACCGTATTTCTTCGAATAGAAGACCGGTAGCAGCCCTTTTTTAAAGTTTTTTGCATAAAAGCTTTAAATGAAGTGCTATAGGGCTGGAAAATGACTCAAAAATAGCACATGAGCTAACAGATTTTTGAGCCATTTTCCAGCTCCTTAGCACTTGATTGAAAGCTTTTATGCAGAAAAGAAATTTTAAAAAGGGCTGTTACGCAGGAGTACGCGATGCTACTCTTTACCCGGTCTTCTATTCGAAGAAATACGGTATTTCTGATAATAGATTGTTAGAATGAAAAATGGATTGAAAAAATTTCATAACGAAAGAAAGAAAGATAACTCAGTTCAGTCAGAGAAAACAAACATGCCTGTTAGAGTTGAATTTTGAGGTCGATTTGTTGATGGCTTTGTTCCAATGACCGCTGCTGATGTCAGTGATTTTGAGCTGCCCGTTGAGCTTTCTGAATACTTTTCTTCACTTCACTTGTTTCGCTGTTTCGCTGTTTCGCTCATTCAATTGAATTTCTGTGAATGATTAGTTTTATTGCATGATCGTGCAGTTATATTTGCTAAACTATTTGATACACTCAAGCTAGATATCGTGCAAATTTGTAGATGTCAAAAGGAAAGATCTTTGTTTTTTTTTCCTACAATAAAAATGACTAGAAAACACAGGGGAAACATCATAAAAGATATAGAAGAGAAGCGCGGAAAATAAAACAAAAGACAAAGGGAAATCTCACAAAAACTAAAGCCTGACTCACAATTTTGCCGTTTTTTTTCATCGAAAAACTTTTTTTATTGAAAGATGCAAAAAATTTATTACAAAAATGGCTAATTGAACGTTTTGGGTGAGTTTTTCTGTTTAAAACGTTTCTGTTTTTCTGTTTAAAACGGTAATCCTTTAGCTCAATAGAAAAGTGACAAGTGCACACATCATTACGACAGACGAAAAGAAGAAGAACAGAAAAACAACGACCAACATGCAACACTCGATTTCCATATTGAATTGAAAGATCGAAACGAAAGGAGTTGGAAAACGAGCTCATCCACCACCCACAGAAATGCTACTCGACGAGGCGGAAGACGTGGAAATGCGACTCACGAATCGTGGAATTGTTTGTGCTGTTTGACTTATCCCACCTCCACCTGCACCTCCACTTAGCTCACCTGATCGATAAAACTGTGATGAGCCTGATGTGTGTATTGGGTTTCTTGCCATCCCGATTTCTAAATTCGATACATTTGCCTATGATCCAATTAGAAAATCAGCATATGGTGTGCCCTAATTTGCATACGTTCTCGGGCACATCAAATTTCACAAATTACTCTAACAAATCCAAATGAAAAATATGCTCTGAAAATTTGCATAATTTGAATGCATCAGAGTCACGTAAACCATCTACTATATATAAAAGAGCAGTGTCTATTTGTACAAGCATTTCCTCGGTCGTTTTTTTATCAATAAAGCTAAAATTTCTTTAGAAAACCTTAGAATATATTGTAGTTGTAAAAAAGAAAAAAAATTAAGAAGTCGAAATTGAGTGGCACTACCAGGGTCGAACCCGGATTGTGTGGACCGTTGAAAAGCACGCTTCCGACAAAGGTGGTTAGGCAGGTTTCACCGCTGGTAAATTCAAAGCCCCATCACCAGAAGCCAAAAATTAACATGTTTCTCTCTTTTTGCAATGCAGTGCTAAGTTCAAAGCCAAACATTTTTATTTATTGTGCTTTATTTAGTTTTCGAAATCGAAATCTTCGAATTTTTCTCTATTATCGAACATTTTCATGTGTGTTAGTGCTAAATGAGTAATTTTTCACCAAATTTCCTTTTGAGCTCTTTTATCTAAACGGGGTTTTCCATTTGTTGTTGTTGTTTTTTTTGTGTGCAAAAACGGCAAACAGTAAGCTTACCACTAGCGTAAAGAATCGAGAATCCACAAAGATCTTCAATTTGTTGCCATCTTTCTTGCATTTCTCGTGTGCTTGCTTGAACACGTTCCATTCTTTGCCTTAAATATTTAAGAACTATTATATTTACCTCAAAAATTTGCTGTTTTTACTTGATAAAGTAGATTTGCGAGTCGACTTTATCAGCTCCCGTGTTACCTCCAGTTGCTAGTTTTAGAGAGTTTAATAAAGAGCCTAAATTTTATTATTTATTTGTTATCTTTTCTGAAAACCTTGACGCCGAGCCACATTATTGATTTCCTCCATTGCAAGTTTCATTTCTTCAACACACCTTAAATGACCAATATTTTCAAATAGTGCTTTCAACACTCACATTTGTTTTTCTGCTTCGGAAACCGCAAGCTCAATTTCACAAGTTTTACGTAGAAGTGGCTGTAAAGCAAGTGGTGTCGCTGAGCTATTGATCTCCATATTCCCGAGTCTTTTGTGTGCTTCTTCAAGTTGCTCTCTGAGATGTTCCATTTCTGCTCGTGACGCTCCCCCATCAGCTGTTGATCTCTTCATTCTATCATTATTTCTACAAATTCTTTCATTTCTTTTTCTTCTTTCATCTTCAATCTCACTTTTGCTGTTGAAGCCAATCGCTTTCCAACGTTTTCAATTCGTCCAATTTTTCGCGCAATTGTTGTTGCTCGCTGAGTGCTCGCCGTTTGTGTCTCCAAAAGAGATAACCGGTGCTTGTTAAAAGAAGTACCTAAGTAGAAATTGAAAAGTTTGTTATTTTCAAAAACAACTCACCAATAATGCAAGAGCAATATCTTTGAATCGACTACTAGAATCACGATACCCAAAAAGCACCACATCAAGAGCATTCAGCCGAAGTTTTTGCCGATGCACTGATGACTTTATATTAAGAGTGCTGGTCATGAACGATGAATTGTGAACAGCCAACCTAATAAATGCAATAAATTCAATTCAATTTTGTCTACCATGAAAGCTATTTTACAAACCTTGGCAAATGTCGTCCATCAATCTTGAGACTCGACAAAACTCCGGCATATTGGGGTAAATTGACGACATTTGTGATCCAATCGATCACCTAAATATCACCATTTCTTTGGCGATCCTTTACCTTGTTTACCTGTTCATTTGTCCATACTCTTTCCTCACTTTCGAACCATGCTTCCCATAGATCATCAATTGTGATTGCATCATCTTCTCGATGAAATGCTTTTTCTCTTCTTCGTGCATCTGATCCTCTCATATTCATGTCTTCTGTCATGAACTAAAAACTTATTTTTGTACATTCGACAATATTCTCTCATATTTATGGATAACACAAATGCGTTACTTAAAAACGAGTATGGATTATTGATGAGTTGTACATAATCATGATATTGGCCTAAAATAAAGAAATGCAAACTGACTAAGCTGACTAGATAATTCTATTTTTCATCAATTAGCTTTTAAACCCACAATTTTTGGCTAGAGAAATAATTTTGGTCAATAGTAGACAAATAAATAAAAGGCAAATAAAACTCTCGGCAAATATACGAGTGATGAGCAAAAGGATTGGTGAAAAAAAGGAGTATCTAAGTAATTCACTGGGAATGTACTGAAATAATTGATTGATTTGTGGTTGACTTACCCCAGTACTTTCAGCTCGATCAATGCTCCCTGAATGATCATCATCCATTTCTCGATGAATTTCGCCAATCGCTGCATATCCAGCCACATCTCGCAATTTTTCTTCTTCGGCTGTGATCACCACACCTAGAATGGATTATCTCGTTGTGTATATGAAAAAATATTTTAAAACACATTTCTTTAATAATGACAGAATCATTTTTTTTGTAAAAAAAAGAAAAACTAACTTCGGGTTGGTTTCTGAACCTTTTTGTCAGCGACGACACTAGCAATCAGAAAGCAGATGGTGGAAATTCTAAAGAGATAACGTCATGAGTTTTAACTAAGGGATTCTATTTATATAGAATATCCGTTTAATAATAGGAAAGTTGGGCAAGTGTTAAAAAGAGCTTAAAAAAGAGCCATAAAAACCAACCTATACAGATTTAACATGGCATTGGACCGTAGAAAGAAATGATTAATAAAATAGGAGAAAAGAAAGATGGGAGACCCACCTGTAGAAGGAGAAAAAAGAAAAAGAAGAAGAGAAAAAGAGAAAAATATTAAAAGAGGGGAATGGTGGGAAATGAAGAGAGAACAGAGAACATTGTGCAGACATATAGACACGTCCCCTCCGCCCCCCCTTCCACCTTCCATTCTCGTCCCTTCACCCCCTCTTCTCTCCTCACTGCTCACAACACCCACTAGCACATACAAATTCCGGTTTTTTATTGCTTTTACAGGAATTAAGCTCTCCTCATCACCTTCACTTGCTTCAGGAGAAAAAAATTAAATAGGTGACAAAATTTTGGGTAATTATCAATAACAATTCCTTTTTTCATTCATTTTTCTACCAATCTTAGCTTTCTTTTGACTCAGTTGATCGATGCTCAATTGAGGGGGCGATAAAATCGAAACGCACTTCTTTCAAACTTTTTTTTTCTTCCTTCGTTCACTGTCACTCCACGAAGCATCCTCTCTTCAAGCGATAACCAGTTTTTAGTAATATATACTTTTTTCCAGTAATTTGGCACGAAAGTTTTCTTTTATTCAATTACAGTGTATTTCATTAATTAATATGTTAGGAATTATCAAAATTACTTTGAATATTTTTGCTTTTATTGGATAGTTGCCCTAAAAACTACTGAATGTCAATTGCCGTCACAGATTTTTAGTTTTGTTTTGTTTTGATTGTTTTGTTGAAGAGCTCTATTTGTTTTCTAGAAATGTTTTGATTTGGCTTGTTTTTTGTCTTTATTTAATCAATTACCTTGCGCAAAACAAAGAAGGGAAAAAGGTTTTAGACATTCAATTTACTATATTCGTATGGGGCCTCAATAGATACCAAGTTTTTTTTGTTCGTTGATTATTCATTTCGTTTCAAATATGAACACTCTTCATCTAATCTTTTTTTAGACTGTCTACATGTTCGTTGTTGAGGATGAGCGAAGATTATGAAGTGAGGCTGAGACGCCAAATGATTGGTGGGTTTTTTTATGATAAGCATTCGGAAGTCTTTATTATTTAGAAATTTCATTCAATATTTCAGAAATCTTTGGGCCTTTCGAGAGATTCAACATTCAACTTCTTGTTCCATCAACGAATGTTTGTTTTCGGATTCAATTTTCGTTCTAAAATTCTTTTCCAGGCCAGCTTTTCACCATTTCAACAAAAGGATTCCTCCAGGAGCAATTCTCCCACCACATTTCTCATGCTCCAGGTTCTTTTATCTAAACTTAATTTGTTTTTTAATTAAAGAAACGAATTTTTTCCTAACAAATATTGATTTCAGAACATGCAAAACCTTGTCGACAAATCGCCCATTCAACCACCGATTACCTCCAGAGCCACTTCTTTTGAAATTGAGGTTCATTTATTTTATGAGTTTATGTTAAAGGATCTACTTTTCAAAGTTTCCGAACAGTTTACATAAAAATCATTTTGAAATTTTTAAAAAGCAAGTTTTCAGGCTCAAACCTCAAACATCAAATCACCGTTAAATCCACCAACGAAGCTTTCGAAAGGAAATCAACTCAGTGAGAATGAGGTATATTTGAAGGCATTACAATGACATTTAGTCCTCAAAAAGTTTAAATACCAGCGATTCGTTGAATCCTTTGAATTTCTTTTCAATTTTTTCTTCAGAAACCGTTGAGAAAGGGAATTTCCGATTTGGACGAAATAACACCGATTCCGAGCAAAAACCGGTAATTTTAGCAGTGTTCTAACTCGAGGAGAAATTCGCACATCTATTTTTCCCAAAAATTAACTTTTAGCGCAACGACGTTCTCAAAGAAACAAATCTACAAAAACGCGAGAAAGACGGAAAAATCTCGGTTTGTTTTTAATCAAATGAGTAAATGTTTTTCAATCTTTAGAGTTCAAAATCGATGAAAAGTGACCCACAAAAAGCATCCGGTAAGATTTCAATTCTAAATTTTAGTTAGTTTCTAATTCTGAGTTTGAGTTTGCAGTTTGACCCACACAAATCATCATGTAATTTTTCAGAAGTGATTGTTTCAACGGAAAAGATCTTGGAAGTTCTCACTTATCTTCCTCCAATTCTCACACCACCAAGACGTTTCAAAGAAAGGAAAGCTTCGCCAAAAGAAATCAAAGCTTCGCCAAAAGAAATCAAAGTTTCGTTATCTGTCAACAACGTGAAAAAAGAGGTTTGCTTTTATGGATCTCAATGCGTAATTTGGCTTAATGATATTATAAGCTTACGATCTTTTTATAATTTGTCGAAGAAAAAAGTATCTTCTAATATCTGAAGGTTTCGTATAATCTTCAATACTCTTAAAATATCAGCCCTTGCGGCTAAATTTTGTTTAATCAGACATAATGTAGTGAGGAATGAGACAGATTTGTATGATATTACAGATATTGTACTTTTATTTTTAAGGAACTTCCCGAAAAACCATCCGAAATGGCAAAAGAAAGAAAACGAGAAGAGCCAATTATGGAAAAGGAGATGAAAAAAGAATTTGAAATAAAAAAGAAATCGGAGAAGAAGCGAGCTCGTCAAAGGAAATTTCATCTGAGGTCTTCGTGCCACCGAATGTGGATCGAATATCCGAGAAAATTAGAAGTCGAAATGGAGAAAAGAGGACACTTCGAGAGGTTGCTCCAAAATGAGTACAAACAATATTGTAGCTGTTTTTTTAGGAAAACATGTCACCGAGTTTCTCTCAATTGGAAAAGAAAAGGAAGCACAATTCAGGTAAGCTAATTCTCGTTCATCAAACGCTTTTTTGAATAATGTAGAGATTGCATATTAACTTTCAGAAGCGATCGGAAATTTGAATTTGGGGCTTCTCGAGAAAAATCAATTTAAAGTGATTGAGGCGTCACTTAATCGAAAAATGTTGAAAAGTAAAGAAGAGAATCGAATCAAATCCGAAAGTACTGGTGGTGCAGGAGGGGCATCGATTGCAGCTCCAACAGCAGCTCCTACACCCCTCCACCCCCACCTCCACCATCCTCATCCTCTTCAATTCCATCAACATTGTCTCCTCTTCCACCCCCAAAACCGCTCGTTTCTTCAAAAAAGCCACTCACTAGGGATCCACCTAAAATCTATAAAGGTACATTTAACAACAAAAATAAAAAATAATCTGTTTTAGCTGTGGATGAAAATGGAGTTCAGGATATGGATATTGCTGGATCGTCACCGGAAAAAGTTAGTGGCTAAATCTGAAATCTTTGAACTGAATGTTTTAGGAGGACGAGGAACCGCCTAAGAAAAATGAAACACCAAAGTCAACCTCATCAAAAGTGAATGTTGAGAAAATGACTCCAAAGGTTGGAATCACGTTGGAACTTATAAAACAAGTGATTTAGAAATCAAGTCCAAATAAGAAGCCAAAACCAAAGCAGCCGACTGAATGTTGTGCTGATAGGTGCATTCCATCACAAGCCACTGAACCGGATGTAAGTATGAAAATAATTTTATCTCTTTGAAAAAGAAAAAAAATCTCTTTATTTCAAAAGCATGCATGAGTAGTTCTTCGTTCAATTTGCTCAATTTTAGCCAGCTCAACCAGGAATGACTGCTGAAGAATTCTATTCGAAACGTGCTCGAGACATCAAACATAAAGGAGATGGGCAAGTAAGAAGAAAATTCTGTGCTTTTTTGATTTTTAAATAAATTTCAGCAAAACGGGAATAAAGTGGAAAGAATGTTGTATTATTTGGAATGCATTGCATATTATGTGATGGCAGCTCGACATTGTGAAACCGATGAACAACGACATTCGTTTCTTCGATCAACAAGCAGTTTTGTGAAAGCGTGAGTATTAGAAAATTCTAAAATTTCTAAAACAAAACAAAACAAAATATTTAAAGGGTATTTTTTCAGTATCGCCAAACATACACTCACTCTTCCAAGTCATTTCCAAGCTCGAATCACACACTTGTTGAAGAGAGTCGAAGCTGTTCAATTGTATCAACTTTACGCGACTCGATCTGTGGTTTGAAATTCAGGGCTTTACTTCAAAAATTCATCTGTTTATAGCAAGTTGTTCGAAATATGCAAATCGTACATCAATTGGAAAAGAGTGTCGATGAGAAACCGAATGGTGTCGTCAATGTAAGTTTCGTTTTCGTTTTTTGTCAAGAACGATTGTCATATGCGATTTCTGTAGAACATAGGATTACAATTGAATAGAAACAGTAATCATTAAAAATGTGAAGTCGAGGTCTTGCTTTACGATCGATCAAAATCATATTTTTAGGATTCCGGTTCCAATGAAAATCCACCCACAAATCCTCCATCAACATCTGAATCAAAAGAAGTATCAAAAAGAAACAAATAAAAAAAATATTATCTTTTTAGATTGCCATTCCGAAAACCCTTTACACTTTGCACAAGCAACAACTGAAAACTTTATCATATTTGATGACTGCACAAGAAGTGTGGGAAGGATCGAAAAAGGAAAATTCGGAAGAAATATCGAAGCTCCAAAAAACGGTAATGCTTGCAAGAAAAAGATTTTATATAAAAAGAAAATAGATGGAAACGGTGACAGGACATCGAATTGAATTGGATATGCCACTTGAGTCAATGGCAAGAGTCATTCTAACATCTACTTCATGGCTTCGTGAGGAAAGAAAACGAGAAGAAGCACGAGGTTGACCGTAATAACTGAATATTTTCTAGCTAATTTTATCGTATGCCAACCAAGTTTTCAATGCAATTAAAAGAAGCAATTCTACAGTGCGTTTCATAATTTTTTGGATATCCCTAAAAATGACGGTTTAGAGCGATGGGGAACAGCCACTGGGTTAAGAAAACTTTTTAGAAAAACTCTAGAAAATTTTCCTCTAGCTACAAAAATTCCCCGAAAGGTGTTTATTAGGGCTTCAAAACATGTTCTTTTAAATGAAAAAAATTAACCCAGTAGCTGTTCCCTATCTCTCCGTCATTTTTAGGAGTGTCCAGAGAATTATGAAACACACTCTAGTTGAAAAAAAACTAATCAGATGACTAGAATTTTGAAAAAGTTTAAATTCAAAAATTTTTAGACTCTCGATCGACTCCTAAAATTTGACAAAAAACGCATTGATTTTTTTTTTTTTTTTTGCATACTTCTGTGAATAACTTTTTTTTGCCTACCTATCCATGTACACTAGTTCATTGGAGTTTTAACAGTGATCAACATTTAGCTTATCTAAAAACGCTTTTTGGCTTTCTTTAATGGGTTTTTCAAAACGTACGGTAAACTAGTATAAGTGTTGTGATATTGGGGGAAAAATATCTAAAGTATGAATCCTTTCCATTGAAATATACTTTTTGGGGTAGTACATATCCACATATCGATTTTGAAAAGATTTCTTTCTTTTTGCCATTTGCCCCTCAATTTGATATCAGATATCAGCCACATATTGTGATTGTCCAAATAAATTCTTCCGCTCATTCATTTACCCATCATTATCATATTTAGAGTGTGTGTTTCTCTCAAGAAATAGTTTGAAATAGGAAACGGGTACATTTGAAATAAACTGAATATCTTGCAAATTGTAGAAGATATTCAAGATATTTCAGTTTATTTCAAATGTACCCGTTTCCTATTTTACACGATTTGTTGAGAGGAAAACATTCTAATCATATTATATCATATCTAGTCTTTGTCCACAACAAATGTACCCTTTTTTGTTCTATAAATGTCTGAAAGTTTTTCCTGATTATAGTGGTGCTCAATCGAAAAACACTAATCAAAAATTTTCTTTTGCTTTGACTCTTTTGTTTTTTTTTTTTGATACGGTTTTTCTCCTATTATTTTTTCTCTGTATTTTGTTTATATTTTTATGGGTTCAAATAATCTTACGGTGAGCTTTTAACGGATGTAAAGCTTTGGAGATAAATTTTAAATATTGCATACTTTAAAAAAACAAATTGAACAACAAAATAGACAGATACTAGAACACGTGCACATGAAAATCTTAGAATGATCGAAAATGGATATGATCAATTTGTTATCCACACTTTCTAATGCTGAGCACTAGTGATTTTTCAGTTACAGTTTTACACCAAGCTTTCCCCCATTTTAAAAATTGTACAAGATCTCTTTTTTTTGTAGCTAATACACAATTCTTTCTGAAAATCAAAATATAGAAACTGGATTTGAAAAGGAAAAAGGTATTTCATTGTGACCGCGTCTAAACAATAGAGATAGGCTAACCCCGTTGTTTGCCTTGTTTGTACAGGGTCCATATCCCATATCCCCATTTCCCCCCAATCACATATAAATACTCTCATTTAATCTCATTTTCCTAAATCATTCTTTCAAATTTTTCTATTCAAAATGCTTCTTTTATATTTCCTTTTTCCTGCCACAATTCTTTGCTACAATCGTCGCTTTTTTGAAAGTCGACAAAGCAAGAATTTCTTAGAAGAATTGCAGAAACAAGAGGATGATTCAACTACAATTGATCCAGAAGAAATTCTCGAAGAGGTCCCAGTTTATAAAGAAATATGATGAACTTTTATTTAGAAAGAGAACAAGATCAAGGCCACCACAAAAAACATTCCTTTGACTCAGCATGAATGTACGGGGGCACTATCAAGGATTCCGAAATTTGTTGAAGAGTAAATAATCTTAAAATTTCTCAAAAGAAAACTATTAATTAGGCTTGATTGTACAGCGGCTGATGAATGGAAGAAAATTGTGGAAACACAAACAGAACCACGATCGGAATTGAAGGAAAAAATGAGAAAATGGGCTCTCAAGTACAATGTTGAGGTTGGAGATGGGTAAAATCGATTTTAAACAAAAGAAATTTTTTGCAGGAAGAATTGATTAACTGGTTGAATGCTGAAGAAAATCTCTATAATCAAAAAGGGGAAAAGTATCAAAGTGTGCTTAATGGAGTTTGGGAAATGATTAATGTAAGGAAAGGAGGAAAGGAGAACGATCAGTTCAATGTATTCTTAGAAAATCGACGATTTGGCTAGAAATGAGACACTTTCACGATCCGAGGAACGACTCGCCGTTAGTCAACTCTATGAAAATGAGGACAAAATTGTGATTGAGGTTTGTTATTCGTTTAATTAATCCGCTTTCTAAAAGGCATATCGATTTCAGAAAACGATCGTAAACAAAGCGTACAAATTGTACGACTTTTTAGGGGTAGGCTAGTTTCCGCAAATTTTTAGGCAACAGGGTCATTTGCGCAACTGGGTCGTTTGTACAACTCGCCATAACTTTCTTCTAAGTCGACCAATCTTTATGATTTTGGTTTCATTTTGTTGCACTTATCGAATCTACGAATGAAACCAAAATCATAAAGATTGGTCGACTTAGAAGAAAGTTATGGCGAGTTGCGCAAAAGACCCAGTTGTGCAAATGACCCTGTTGCGTCTTGAATTCAGCTTTAGGATGAGTTATAAAACGTCAAAATTGGACAAATTTAAGGTACTCTCCCAGAAAATCGGAAAGGACTTTTCCATCAACCCAATAACTCTGTTGCGCAAAAAAAGTTGCGGAAACTAGCCTACCCCATTTTTTACGGTAATAGATGTCTTTTAGAGAATGCATTAAAAAAGAGAAAGAATATAATATAAAAGTTGATAATATTCAAGGTTGTAAATCTTGTTGTTCAATTGGTTCGCTCGTGGGCCGGGGAAAATTTCCCTTTCGAAAGATGCGCCCACTTGAAGGTGTTCAAATTTGGACCGAAATCTAAGCCAAGAAAAAGTGAGTTTACAAAGAATTTAAACGAAATTTTATTATTCAACTTTTAGAAAAGATTCTCTCAATTTTGAATGCAATTCTTTTTCTTCTTTTCTGTCAATTGATGTACATAATGTTTGCAACTGTTCTCGCTCAAAATTGCACGCTTTCACAATAAATTTATTTCTTATTAAAAGTTAATTGACGTTGCGTTAAATTGACAGAAAAAAAACATCACAAAATAAAAGAAATCTTTGAAATTGATTTGTTTTAAACATTTTTTTACTATTCATCATCTTGAGTATGGAAAATAATGGGTGGTTGAGCAGAGGTTGCCACTTGATGAGATCCCAATGCAAATTCACTCTCTTCTGATTTCTTTGCTTCATTCTTTTCGTTTTCTTTTTCTTGATAATCTTCCTCATCTTCTTCCTCTTCCGTTATATTTGATAATTGTTTAGCCTAATCATTTCATAAATCCACATAATTCTGAGCACTTACCGTATTATGACAAAGTGCATTCAGCATTCGTCCCACATCATTATCATAACTATTTGATGCCCAAGCTAATCTTTCTTTCACTCCCTAAAGTTATTTTAGTTATTTTTGAATAAAATACGATTATAATTAAGAAATTGAGCTTTTTCATGGCTCTAACGAATTTTTTTGACTTAGATTATGTATCATACATCACAAGTTTATTTTTTTTTTAAGTTTATAGAGTTTAGTTTATTTATTCTTAAGCTAGCGACACTAATCTGAAATGATACAAGTGTGGTAAAGGAGCATTTCACGATATAACTTGTAGCCATCACTTGTGCACTTCACGATATTTGTGATCTTTTTTATAAAATGATTCTTCTACCTGATTTGTGTCAGCAAAAATATAAGCAGAAATCTGAGTGTCTACTCCATTGAGAGCAAGCAGAAAACCGAGAAGACCAAGAAGAGATGAGATCAATACTTTCAATGATCGTAGTTTATCTTGAGATATCATATGAGCATCTAACATTGAGATTAGCTAAATAGAGAAAAAATTGACATCATCCGCAGTTTCTCGATAACTTTTTCATGTGAAGCGTTGAAAAGCATGTCGATGTGCGCGGTCGGTTCCTGTTTTGCTGATCGGGTCTTTGTCACGATTAAGGCTAAATTTTTCGAAATTCTCTTATGTACATACCGTAAATACTCTAATAGAACGCCATTGTACCGTCGCGTAGTCTAACTTCCTTTTAGAAAATCATTTTTTTCTCAGCCTCTAGATTTTTTTTCTAACTACGCTTTGGTACCAAAAAAAATACTAGCTTTCAAGGGCTATCATTTGAAACCCAAGTGAACACTGTGGCTTAAATCAGCGCGGAGAACGGGGCGCTCAAAGTTAGACTACGCGAGTGTACGTCCATCAACGATGGCGTTCTATTTCGTTCATTTTACCATTAATAGCCCTCATTTCTTTCGTCTTTCGTTCAATTTCTTTCCGTTCTTCAGCATATTTTTCTTCGAACTAAACTTTTGTAAAAAAAGAATCAGCTTATCAGTTTACTTCTAAATATTCTTCAAATTTTGGTATCAGATATTCTAGAGGAATTGGAGCGGTGAGATGGACATTTGGCTAAATAAGTTTAGTTTTTTATCGATCTTTTTGTGAACCTGGAGATTTCTGATGCGATCAGCGAGTGTCTTTGCAACCACCAACAACAATCCCGCGTGATCCGATTGTATTCGATATCGATCTATTAACATTTCTATGCTTCTTTTTTTTAAAAAGATTGACACTTGATTTGTTTGCTGTGAATACAGAAACGATAGCGTCACTACCATATACTTGAAGACCAAGGGAAACTGGATTTTCAGAGTTCATTTCTAAAAAACAATTTTTGAAATAAAAGAAAAACTTGAAAGGAAAAACTTAGGCTTAGGCTGAGGCTTAGGCTTAGGCTCAGCTTAGGCTTAGGCTCAGCTTGGGCTTAGGCTGAGGCTTAGGCTGAGGCTTAGGCTAGGCTCAGCAGGCTTAGGCTTCAGGCTGGGGCTTGGGCTGAGGCTTGGGCTTAGGCTCAGCTTAGGCTTAGGCTTGGCTTAGGCTGAGGGCTTAGGCTGAGGGCTTGGGCTTGGGCTCAGGCTTAGCTGGCTGAGGCTTAGGCTGAGGCTTAGGCTTAGGCTCAGCTTAGGCTTAGGCTCAGCTTAGGCTTAGGACCTGGAAAGATTTGCGGTAGAGATAATGGGGCTCGATCAGCATCAATTGTGATCTTGTAGTTGGCATTTCGTTCGGCTCCACAAGCCCGAAATAGAAGCTCCAATGGAAGCTCTTGTGAAATGATTCCACTTACTAAAATTAAGCTATAAAAATATAGGTTTACACTGCTTTTTTTTATTTACTAACATTGAGTCCGCGTGTGATGTACGGTAATGTGAACATTGAGACTAGTCGGCGGATGAATTGGATTTATAAATAGGATGATTGACAGCGGAAATTCATCGGCTACAAAAAAAGAAATAAGGGGGAATTTCTGGGAAAACAACAATTTACCGGTTAAAACAAAGTGATTTTGTTGTATTTGAAAAGACGATCGAACATTGACTTGATAGTGACCATTTGCAAAATTACCATCTTCTGAAGAAAGTCTCAATGTAAGTGAGGGTACATCTGATGGAACATTGTAGGCTCTCTAAAATTTAGAGCATTAGCTCAAAAAAAATTATTGGAGGGAAAACCGATGGCCGATCAAGAGAATCCCATTCTGCGCGTAGTTGAAGACTTGCTTGATTCTCATTTTCTGAACATGAGCTTGAATTTGTTTCTGTATAGAGCGACGCACTAGTGGATGAATTCGAGTTTAAAGCTTTTTCCATAGCAGACAAATGTCGATTCTTCTCTTCAAAATCGACAAATCGAGTTGGAGGTAATGGTAGACGATATAAAGAAGGTTCCGTTCCAAGATAGCTAAAGACGTTTTTAGTTTTAAAGATTTTCTATGTTTTTTTTCAAACCCAGTAACCACTCGTCCATCACTCGAAAGAAATGAAAGAAGATTTTGGTATGGTTCGCTAAATATTAATATTTTATATTTACCTACCGTAAATACTGTAATAGTACCCCACCCCTCTCGTACAGTCGCGTAGTCGCAAAAGTTGTTTAGTATTTCATTTTTTCAAAGCGCCCGTACTTTCAAAAAATGTGTCTTTGGTATGAAAAAATAGCCCTGAATTTCAGCTATTTTTTTGATACCCAAGCCCGCAATTTAGCATAAATCAGTGTCGAGAAAAACGCGTTCAAAGCTAGACTACGCGACACTCCGCACCGTCATTATGGGGGTGGGATACTATTACAGTATTTACGGTAAATAAATAAGCTAAATAATCTTTACCATTTAACCTTTCAAAAATCATTTTCTAAACCTAAAGTTTCCAAGTTTCATTTGCACTGGTGGAAAGCGCATTTGAAAATTCCAGATGAGATCGTTGTCACTATAGAGCAGAACTGTGTTGATCGAGGTTGCAATGCACATGTGAACTTTAGAAGAATTCACTGAAATTTCAAGTTTATAAGAAATGAAGTGAAAAATTGAAAAACTAACAAGTATTATAGACAAGCAAAGAGAGGCCAATTGCTTCCAAATGAATTGTATAGCGAACATTTCCACCGGATGTTAAACAAAAGACAATTCTTCGACACAACACAATGATTGATGGCTAAATACCGTATCTTATCTAAATGCCGTATTCTTGAATTCTACTTGTACTGCAGGCCATTCAGCCACCACCATATCTAACGCCATATCGCCCACATTCAATGACCAATCGAACTGAATTCCCTTTTTCATTACGTTTTCCGTATCCATTACCGTAATCTTTTTTCCCGTATTGCTGACACTTGCTAAGAGACTGAATTTCACAGAATTTATCTAAATCACATTCACTTAATTATTTAACACTTTTTACTCGGCCAGCATTTGTGATGAGTAATGATTCGGAAGCCTTGCAATAAACGAGAGGACCCGGATGAAGAGCTGGGATTGGAGCTCTTTGAAATACACACTCTTCTCCTTGAAATAATGTAAGACTGCAAGAGACTCCTTGCACAAATAACTGGGGATTACGGCCCGGCACAGCACACATATTGTATGAAGCTTCTAGAATCTTTTTAGAAAAGTAATCCAAATTGGGGCTTTACCAGTTAACGCATGTGTATAAACTTCTTCAAGTTTAGTCGTCGCACCATCACTTGTAGCTGAAATTTGATAATATCTTGAAAAAGAGCTCTAGCAACTTTAGATATCTAACTGTACGTACGATTCGAATAATTACAGTACATTGAACAAGTCGAAAGAGGAGCAGATGATGAGGGCAAAGCACGGCGAGTAACTTCGTGTCAATAGCAGAGACAAATTCTCCGATCGCAAGCTAAAAGGGGCACATGCAATGACTGTGAAAATGTAATGAAATTCAATGAACATGATGTTTAGCTGCTTTAAAATATAAAACCGTTTTTGCAATATCACCTGTATAATGGGTAAATTGAGGTGATGTTGTACAAGTACGGATTCCTCTCCTCGTCCCCGGTTTCCTCCCGGATCGACAACAATAATCAAACCCTCTTCCGTACCAACACATAGTTGATCTAAATTCATTTTCTTTCAATATTTTCATTTTCAGTCACCTCTTCCTTTTGTCAACTCGCCGGTTGCAATGGAAGTAGCTGTCGGAAAAATATTTGAATACCATTCATTTAATTTGAAAAGTGACATTTTAGACTTTCTGAGTTATGTTAGAAATGGTTTTGTTGAATTAAAGACAAAAACTTGTCCTATAAGCGATTTTCTCATTACCCTCTGTATTTTCTTGTTCCCATGGTGATTGTTCGCGGGTTTTCAAATGTTGTTTAATTCTTTGATGTCAATTGGGACATTGTTTTTTTATCCATTTTTATCCGTTCAACTTTTCAACAGTAAAAAATTGCGTAAATAATGTAAAGTTCTTCTAAGTTCTTTAGCTACCCAATGTAAACTCAATGCAAAGTGCTTTTCAAGTGCTAATGTGTAATTAGTAGCCTCTCGTCGTTTTTCTTTCGAAATTCCCATTGTGTTTCTTTTTCTCTCACAAATTTTAATAAGTTTAATAAGATGGGTATATTTTTTTCTTTTGTGAGTGTTTATTGCTTTCTTTTCCAGTTTCTCTAATTGCTGATTTTTAGATGGACCGCCTACAGCCACTTCAACGTTTGGAAGACGACTATTATGTCGGCGAAATTGGACGGCCAGCAGTCGAGAGCGACTATGATTCGAGGTATTTTTAATTTTTCTGTTTGCAAGATGTTAGGTTTATGATTTAGTTCTGATGACGAGCTGCAGCACGAATTGAAGCGGCTCGCCGGCATTCCGAATTGTAAAGAAGTGAAAAAAGAAAAAGGTATGGGATAGTTAGTGTTTTTGTATATCTTTTAACTATTCTAATTAAATGTTTAGCCGTTTAACGCAAAGAATGACCATTTTTAGAAAGAGATGAATTCGTTGATGAAATGGAGAGCGATTTGGATGATAGCATTTCAGAATACGCACGCAAACACATGGGTGGTTCAAATCAAGATCTCACAAAGGTAAACCTTTAAAATTTTTGTTGTTTTTATTTCAGCTTTAGGACGAACTTCCCCAGCTTGTTGACCCAACTACGGACAACGAGATGGAAACGTCGCTTCCTGGTAGTTAAAATAAATCGTATTTTCTTATTGCTTTACTTTAGGTACTTCAAAAGATACTAAAAGCACGCCAGCTTCAAAAGATACCAAATCGCCAAAGAAACAGAAGAAGGTGCTGTTACATAATTTGCATCAAGTTATTATGCTTAATTTATCAGGTCACTATAAATGAAGATGTTGAAATGGGAGATGCAAAAGACGGGGATGAGACGAATCCCATTCTTAAAATGGCAAAGGCTCAACTTAAAGAGGTATTTTACTTTGAGTTGTTGTTTTTTCCTATTAGTAAAAATAATCTTTTCCTTTTAGAAAGAAGAGAAACCTGATTTCTATGACTCAGACGAAGATGAAGATAATGAAAGGTTTCTCTTTTTTTTTTATTCACAGATTATCGCATTATTTTAGGTGGATTGCTGAAAAGCGACGACAAAGCAAAGGAATGAAAAAGATGAACAAGGAAATTCGAGTGCTTCTGGCAAGGAAAGTCGAGCAAAAGTTAGTTAATTATTTTTTGCGGAATTTTTATATGCTTTTGAGGTCGTAATGCATTAATTTGTTCATATTAGTTAGGCCAGATTGTTTGCAATTATTCATGAATGATTTAGATAGATGATGAATCGGACGCAGTTCTTTCTTGTCCCGGTTGTATGTCACTGCTCACACGGGATTGTCAACGCCATGAAATTTACAAGAATCAATACCGGTAGGTGACTGATGATTGTGATTGCTCTGCTTAACATTTTCCCGATAGCTATGATTATCATCGGAACTGTAAATATACATAAGTGAGTCAGAGATCACTCATAAACACAATAATAAGCAAAAAATACCGGGCGGCTTTTATATAATCTACTTAGGTATTTTAATTTTGATTAGCCTTCGACTCCTTGATGCCTTTTAAACTAAAGCAAAAAATTGCGTATTGAAAGTGTATGATATTTGCATATTTCAGGGCGATGTTTGTAGAAAATGTCGAAGTTGTTGACGAGCTGATGACGGTTGAGGAAACGGGCAAAACAAAAAAGAAATAAGAGGCGAAAAGAAAAGAAATCTGGAGTCGAAGTAATCCTTTGACTGTAATCACTAAGACGTAAAAAACTAAATTTTACTTTTTACATATCATTGATCATGAGTAAACCAGTGGTCTTTTTAATTAGGTTATTATTAGGTACTAATATGCTTGGGGGAGGGTACTTTTTTCCAAGTTAAACACTTTTCCGCGGGTTTAAACACCGAGGGTGCCGAGTTCGAATTCGTCAAAATTCGTTTCGTTTTCGTTCTATTTGGATAGGTTGTTTTCATTCAAAAAAGAGAGTTTAGACAAAAAATTGTTATCAGTTTTCGGGGGTGTGGGGCACTTCAATGGGGCTAGTTTGATCCCAAATTGTTCGTAACTTTTTTCGTTTTATTTTCATATTATTAACATGCCATAATATAATAATGCATGTCAGGCGGGTGTGCACTTAGGTAGGCTCGGGTTGGAGTAAGTGCTGCAAGCTTTCTGGGAAGTAGATGGGACTGAACCCGAACTACCTCTGGAGAGCTTACGCACTCCCAAATCTACCTAAGTGCAACCCCGCCTGAGATGCGTTATTATATTATGGCACGTTAATAATAAGCAAACTTATTGAAATTTTGACAAATTCGAACTCAGAACCCTCGAAAACCTCTGAAAAAGTGTTAAACTCGGAAAAAAGTGGGCCCCCAAGCATACTAGTACTTGGTATTAATTAATTTTATTTAGCATCAATTCGGCGATAGAGATCTCTTTTATCCAGTTCGATGTGTCGTTTGCAAGACTTCTGTTGGAGTGGTCGATTTGGAAGAAGTTTATCATTTTTTCAACGTTCTTTCGGGTTACGCTTAATTTTGTTGTGATACTTGATAAATGGTTCTATATATATTAATGCATATCGAGGAATCGCACAATCAAATATCGTTATTAAAGACAAACATAGTTTTTACCGTTGTAAAGACATTGATGATGCATCAGTGTGAAGAGTATGCATCATATGGGCCAACGAAATGCACCTATCGACGCATTTCCTTTTTGCTCTTTTCCTTTCAAGAGCGAGCTTATTTTCATTGTGCCATTGTTTACACCATATTTCAGCTGTTTCGTCAGGTAATTTTTAAGTGTGATTGATTGAAACAACACCAAGCATTCACTTTATATTTTGCTTAACCAATTTGATATTCCTCAAAATTTATGCATGAATTATTTCAGAACAATGATGCCTCAGCCTACAGCGCCTCCTTTTGGAGCTGATTTGCCTCCATCTTATGAAGTCTCAAATACCGATGGTTTGTATGAATGGCTAAAGTTCATAATGGGACAAAAATGATAACTATGTGGCATTTAGCTTTGTTGTGAATACCATAAGAACATTAAAATGTAACCAGGATTTTTTTTTTACTTTTAAACGCAACTCTATTTAGCTCCTCCATCATATGATTCACTCTATGGAGAATTCAGACAGGTTTATTTCATTACTTTTGTAAAATACAATTTCAAGAAAATTTCCTAGGTGGAAGATCCAAAAGGATTGTTTTCATTTTTGGGACGAGCATGGAAAACGATCACTGGAACAGGTATGTGAAAAAAAAATCAAAGAAAATAAGACTGTCAACATTTAAGTGACTGCAATGATTGCGATTGCTCTCCTTAACATTTTCCCGATAGTTATGATTATCATCGGAGCTGTGAATATAGATAAGTAAGTCACAGATCACTCATAAACACAATAATAAGCAAAAAAAAATTACAGCTGTGAATTGAAAACAATTATCCCGAAATGGTTGATCGTGACAGGCAGTGTTCATCTCGTGAAAAGCGCAATGACATATTACTTCAAATTGAAGGTTTTCATTGAAAAATATATCGTTTTCTATTTATTTAAAACCTGGAAGCTTTTGGAGCTGATATTTCAAGAATTGGGATAATATTGGGGATTTCTTTTTAGTTACGTGTGGTGAGGATTGGATAGTTGAAGATTGAGAATTGGAAATTGAGAGTACTCGTTTGAAATGATTGAAATGATTGCAATTTCAGAAAATCGAAAACCCTCCGAGTCTCGCCAAATCCTTCGAAACACTCTTGAATTTGTTCAGCACTATTTGGTGGGAGAATAAAAAACAAAATACAATCATACATAAATGCTTGCATCTTTAGGTTCATCCTTGGCAGTATTTGGGTTTACACGAGTTTCGGGGATTTCAATGGGAAAAACTGTGATCGTTTCATGATGTATTTCAGGTAAAGAGAGAAAAAAAAGTCATTTCCACATGCAACAAAAAATCATTTTTTTTCCAGTTTCGTTTTCGTCACAGCAACTTACGCGATCGCGGCATTAATGTGTTGTTGTATTTGTTGCTGTTGTTGTTGTATTTGTTTCAAAAGAGCTCACGATACAGTACCACCCGTTTAAATTATTTTTGAATGACAAACGTTGATTCACTTTGATTATAACTACTAGAGTGTGTTCCTCAAGAGTAATGCCTTTTTTTTAAACGCATACTTAGGAAAAATGACCGTACTTTAAGCAAAAATTGTGGGAGCGGGACCGATGCGACCTTTTTTTCCGCACCTTGCCCATTAGCACACCTTTTTTTCGCGTTTTAAAAAACTCTAAAAAGCTAATATTAGCCAATTTCTATTCCAAAAGTTGTTTTTCTAGCTAATTTTAGGGCGTAGAATCGAAATTTTGACATAACAGAGCGTGTGGAACCAATTTGAAAGACAAAACGGCTAGATCAAATTACAGAAAATTGTCGATTTTTCTCTTCGTATAACTCCGTCCGTTTGTTTCCACAAGCTCTGATATGTCAAAATTTCGATTCTACGCCCTAAAATTACCTAGAAAAACAACATTTAGAATAGAAATTGGCTAATATTAGCTTTTTAGAGTTTTTTAAAACGCGAAAAAAGGTGTGCTAATGGGCAAGGTGCGCAAAAAAAGGTCGGATTTGTCCCACTCCCAAAATTATTGCAAAAAATCACGAGCGACCACTTATATATGACCCTTTTTAAAGATATTCAGCCGTTTAAATGATTTGGTGGCAAATTCCCTTCACATGTAAAGATATTCAATTTACTCGACGTGTAAAGTGGATTGCTCGTAGTTGCTGGACCAAAAACGTCGATTAATCGAGTAAAAATTACTCATGCAGATTTTACTCGAGTAGTTACTTACTCGCGAGGAACGCACTCTAATAACTACACTGTATTTTGTGAGTTTGTGACTCTTTTCAATGACTCACCTCCTTAAAATCTGCTATAGTTAGCTGCTGACCTCAACACAAAGTTTTCAAATCGCACTTTTTAAACTCGTAAACAATAGGCGTGCCTGTAGCCTTAAGCACTATTCATTTTACTTTTCAATTCAAAACTTTGTGTGGTGAGATCAGCATCTTTTCAACTATAGCAGATTTTAAGGAGATAAGTAATTAAAAAAAGCCGAGTATACATGGGCCTTTTGTAGAAAACGAGTCCCACGTTTTAGCAAACAGCTCTTTTTTTTCTAAAGCTCGAAATAGCATTTTATCTATGCTTTAGAAAACAAAAGCTCTTTGCTAAAACGTGAAACTGACTCGTTTTCTACAAAAAGCCCATGCCAAGAGCCGTGTTTATTCTTCTCGACTAAAAACTCGAATTACCGTTATCAAAGGCAAGATTCCGGTAGCTTTCGAAAGTTAAAATGCTGAGAAAATGTTTTAGTCGAGAGAAACACACTCGAATTCTAAACCTTCAAAAATCGAGAAGCCAAAGTTTACCAAGGTGTTCATGAACGAATCATCGAGTAATCAGCGTAACATTTGTTTATTTATGTGAGCGAAATTCGATTCATCCCAACTGTTTACATTCGATTCATTTTTTTCAGGTTTTTCCGGGTATAATTTTCATTTTAGATCACTGGTTTCATTTTAATCTCTTTCTCCAAAAAACTAGACTCATCTAGGCGTAATCCGTTTTTTTTTTTGCTTTTTGCTTAATCGTGCATATAATTTCTGAGATCCACCCTATTCAAAAAGGCAAAAATTTTCGCGATTTTGTACATTATTTCTCGAAACTTTTTTCCACCAAGTTTTACGTAAAAACTTTTCAGCAAATAACAGTAAAACCACGTTGTGATTTGTGTTTTTTTTTGGTATTTTTTAAGAATAAACATTTGATGCAAAAAAAAATTCGGTGAAAAATTGAAAAAAAAAGAGAAGAAGACAATGCATGCTTGCAAACCGCATTTGTGTGGCGAATTGTCACCTAAAGTTGCCCAAAAATGTTTCAGAATAGGTTTAAGCTCGCTTTGGAGAGAAAAGGACGAGTGGAATCCTTAAAAAGAAGTGTCTCTGGAGCTACGGTCATTACTGTTTTTTTATTTTGTACCCCTCAGTTTTGTTGTCTATCTAAGCATAAAATCGTTTTCGGATTCCTTTTTCATTTGTAAAAAGTGCTAAGTTCGAGTTGGTACTATATTTTTTTGTTTGTTCCGAACACGTGAATTTGTCCACTGCTATTGATTTTGTCATCAAAGCGAAACTTTTCAAATCATCAGAAAGTTGGAATAAATATCGTGTCGTGAGTCGTTGAGGAAATTCCATCAGTGAGATCAGATATCTTCAATGGCTCCAATGGACAGGCTCCAATGGACAGGCTCCAATGGACAGGCTCCAATGGACAAGAAATTAGCGTGTGTGTACTCCAACAAGTGTACTCCAACAAGTGTACTCCAACAAGTGTACTCCAATAAATGAAGAGTACCAGACACGTAAAACGTAAATTTCTTACAATTTGACAGTTAAGAAAGAGGTGAATCAGTAAAATGATCTTGGGATGAGTCTCTCTGCTTTTCAATATGCTTTCTCATTTCACTCCTTCTTTTCTTCTTTCTAAATACATTCCGATTTCTCTTATGTCCTCTCCAATTTTCTTCACGCGTTTTCGACAACTCATCGCCTCCTCAGACTTCCCCTCTTCTTCCTCTTCCTCCTCTTCCTCCTTTCCTCCACCCCGTCTGACTTCAAAATGGGCATTTAGTGATGCTTTCACCAAAATCGCATTTTCCCCTTCTTAGGCTACCCTCTTTTTCTTTTTTTTGTGTGAAGCCGACGGCATTCTGCTCCCTGGTAGGAGAACAAAGAGGCTCCAATGGACTGGTAGATGGGGAAGGAGAGTGAAACCCGATTCCCACTCTATGCACAGATCACCCTTGCCCACCACATATTCTCGTCCCAATTGACGACCACAATCCACCGCCCACCTCAAATCTTCGCTCATCCTTCTGAAGCGATGAATGCCACGGTTTTTTGAAAAACAATTTTTTCTCCCAATTAATCGTATTTGCAAGTTTTTATATTCATATACATGGCTTGGAAATTTTTGAACTAATTGTAGTGGTGTAATCGCGAAAGCAATCCGAGAGAAGAAGAGAGATGTTTTGGCTTTTGAAAAAGAAGCGGCTCATGTTGAGGGAGAATGACGCACATTCACATCTCGACTCTTTTCCATCTCTTTCCACCGATCAAGATGTCTCTCTCCGATTACCAGTTTTGATTTAAAATAAACCACTCATCCCTCAATCATTAATGGTAAAAATCTAAAGTTATTTACAAAAAATTAAATCCAAATTTCAGTTAGAAAGTTAGAAAGTTAGAAAACAGTTGAAGTTCATCTGTTTCTTGATTTGAATCACAAATAGATTCCGAGACGGTGAAACAGATAAGAAACCGGAACAAGGAAGAAGCTCCTCAAATAATAATCTTCTGCTGAGGGATATTTTTGGGTATGAGCAGTGACACCTTCTACCGCTTTGGTCCCTTTTGGAGAAATCGAATTTCCTCGCGACTCGAGGGTAGCCACGTCAAAAC